CACAGTTCACAGCAACCTCCAACTCCTAGGTTTAAGCGATTCTCTTGCCTCAGCCTCCCAAGTAGCTGGGACTACAGGCGCCCGCCACAACGCCCAGCTATTTTTTGACTGCAGCCATCATAGTTGTTTGGCAGGCCCAGGCTGGACGCAAACCTGCCAGCTCAGGTGTATGTGGCTGGCCCTTTAGGAGTTTGAGCCACAGGCGCGGAGCCTAGATCAGGAAAAACTATGGCCCAAGGCCTATGCCTGTGAGGTTTTAAAAATTATGGTAAAAAGGGCAGCACCTGTGGCTCAGTGGGCAAGGCGCCGGCCCCATATGGCAGGTACAAACCTGGCCCTGGCCAAACTACAACAAAAAATAGCCAGGCATTGTGGTGGGTGCTTATAGTCCCAGCTACTCGGGAGGCTGAGGCAAGAGAATCACCTAAACCCAAGAGCTGGAGGTTGCTGTGAGCTGTGATGCCACAGCACTCTACCGAGGGCAACAAAATGAGACTCTGTCTCTAAAAAAAAAAAAAATTATGGTAAAAATACTTACAAGTTAGGTCAGTGCCTATTGCTCAGTGGGTAGGGCACTGGCCCCATATACTGATGGTGGTGGGTTTAAACCCAGCCCCAACTGAGCTGCAACAAAAAAATAGCTGGGCGTTTTTGCAGGTGCCTATAGTCCCAGCTACTTGGGAGGCTGAGTCAAGAGAATTGCCTGGCTTAGCGCCTGTGGCTCAAGTGGCTAAGGCGCCAGCCACATACACCTAAGGTGGAGGGTTCGAATCCATCCTGGGCCCGCCAAACAACAATGATGGCTGCAACCAAAAAATAGCCAGGCGTTGTGGCGAGCGCCTGTGGTCCCAGCTACTCGGGAGGCTGAGGCAGGAGACTCGCTTGAGCCCAGGAGTTGGAGGTTGCTGTGAGCTGTGATGCCACAGCACTCTACCCAGAGTGAAAGCTTGGGGCTCTGTCTCAAAAAAAAAAAGAGAGAATCGCCTAACCCCAGGAGTTGGAGATTGCTGTGAGCTGTCTGACACCATGGCACTCTACTGAGGGTGATAAAGTAAGACTCTGTCTCTACAAAAAAAAATACTTACAAGTTAAAATTTGCCATTTTCTTATTTTCTTTCTAATTTTTTTTGGTTTTTTTTTTTTTTTTTTTGAGACTGGGTCTTGCTTTGTTGCCTAAGCTAGAGTGCTAGGTCGTGTCAGCCTAGCTCACTACAACCTTAAACTCCTAGACTCAAGTGATCTTCCCACATCAGCCTTCCGAGTAGCTGGGACTACGGGCACGAGTTACCATACCAGGCTGCCATCTTCACTTTTAAGTGTACATTCAATGACATTAAGCACGTTCACATTGTTGTGCTACTATCACCGTCATTCATCTCCAGAACTTTTTCATTTTCCCAAACTGAAACTCTATCCCCTTAAACACTAACTCCCCATCCCCCTTCCCAGTGCCCCTGTGGCCATCCCAGAGACCTCTATGTTGTAGCATGTGTCAGAATTTCCTTCCTTTGCAAGGCTGAATAATATTCCATTACATGGATGAACCAGGTTGTGTTTATCAACCACCCACAGGTGGACACTTGCCATATTTCCACTTTTAGCTATTGTGCATAAGCCTTGGGTGGCCTATTAAGTCATGCTCACGTGAGACAGTGAAATACACATACATGCTGTGTCCTTGTTTACAAGT